AGTTGTTATAATCGAATAAAGAGCTAGTGCCCACAATATTTGAATTAAGAAAAAATTTAAACTTATTATTTCTAATTGAAGAAAAAGTAACCGAATTTGTCCAATGTAGAAAAGAAATCAAACTTCATCAAAAAAGACGATATTGCAAATGTCAGATCCAAATAATAACCAGTCTTTAATAATAACATAAAAGTCTTTACAGTCTCAACTTTAATTGATTTGTCATCGCCTCACATAGATGAATCGTTCCGCATCAATTGGTTTTAAGCTGTTTAGGAAACACCGCATAGACACGCTTATTGAGTAGTGACACTGAAATTTATCTACAAAGTGTGTCTAGGTATTGAAACTAAATTAACCTCCAAATAGATCAAATGAGAAGTGTACTTGACTTTACACGTCAAGCGTGGTATTTAGTACACTCTCTTTTTATGTATTCCAAATTTTCACAAAAGTAACATCCAAATGATTAATCATTTTCAGGCTTTTGCAGTTTCTTTTGAATTGAACAAGATGCAGTTATCTTATTCTTTAACTTGTCCTTAAAGGTACTTGTCAAGTGAGTTTTTTCAATTCTTTCTTGCTTTAGATTTTTTTCTTCTTGCATATAATATGAAATGAGCTCATTCAGAGTCCACCTCCCCTTTTGATAGCTGTAACTGGCCTTAAATTAATTGATTGTGCGGGAAGAGAAATCAAAACTATATGCACAAGTAAGTCATCGACTCAAACTTTAATGCCGTTGGTTTTGAAGCAAGACGATCTACATCCATGACGTACTCCAGTATATTTAGGGATGTCAAACAGGTCGAGGGACTCGTTAGCTCGACTCATTAAAGCCGAGCAGGGGGCTCAATCCCACGAGCCGAGCTTGTGGGCTCGTAAAAAAATATGCAAATTTACAAAAAAAAACAAGTCAAAAAAATGTGCAAATTTATCAAAAAAATTAAAAAAATCACAAGCTCGTGGGCTCAGCTCAGCTCGACCCCCAAGCTTGTGGCTCATGAGCTCGTAGGCCGAACCGAGTTCGTCCCGAGCAACGAGCCTAGCCGAGCTCGTGGGTTAAAGGGTCAAGCTAGCTCGGCTCGACCCATTGCCATCCCTAAGTATATATATATTTTTTAGCCTTATACTTTAGTAAACTAAGTTTATTAGAAGCATACTGGTTTCAATCTTATTGCTTTTTTGCAAAGCATTTTGAAATATTTTTTTATGAAATTTCTTTGCAGTATCTTATTTGTTATAGTTCTCTTGAATGTTATTGGAATTTTACGCTTCATGATCCTAAGACTTGTGCAGTTTGAACGATCCTACTCATTTGAGTCTCGTTTTATTAACGAAACTCTTATCCTTAAGAGTAATGGATTGTTCAGTTCTTAATGCAAGGTTTAGATTCATGCCACCAAGAACAATACAAACGTTTTCTTTCCAACCTTAAACTTTTGTTCAAACGCATGAATTAAATTGATGTTGGTAGATATTGCAAAAGTAGTTGGATTAGCTGAATAGAGAACATATACCTAAATAACATGTTCATATGGGAATCCATATTAGACAATCAATAGTTTCAAATAATGGTGGGTCCTATCACAAGAGATCGAGCATAACATTAATATTTAGTCTTTGAATAGAAATATCAACTTGTAAATGGTACTTTTGATGTAATACTTAAATATTGACAACATATCAAGTCAATATTATCTTTGGACCAATTCAATCTTCATATAATGAAAAATTTTACAATTGTCACATATTTATTATCACAGGTGTGCAAATAATTCAGTCAAATATTGACCTTCTTTTGGATTGATGAATATCCGCATGAATTACGTACACACAACCTTTCTAATATTCCAAATAAATAAATTTAAGTAAGAAATGTTACATTGGTAACATATTGCTTCAACCAATCTATTTTAGAAAATTAGTAATCCGAAATAAATATTAAGCATCAAGATTTGAAATTGATTGCACATTTATATTTAGAATTTTCTCTTTTGTGACTAAAAGAAAAAAAATTTAAAAAATTAAAGCGAAGATCGATGTCAGGTCAACGCTGCGATGCTGGCGTAGCGTTGGTCGCACTCTCTTATGGCAGTTGTCGGGCACCCGAATAGCGCTGCAGCCATCGGTTTGAGCTAGAGTTTTCGAAAAATCCAAAAAAAAAAATCCGAATTTTTTTTTTATTTTGGGATTAAAATTCATATCCTAAATTGGAAAATCTAAATTATAAATTTCAACCCTAAAATTCTTTCTTGAAAAATTCCGAATTTCGAAATTTATGGCTAAAATTCATATTCCAAATTAAAATATTACCGAACTCGATATATGAATTTCAACTGGAAAATTTTCATTTAATCCCAAATGTTTAATATGGAATTGGCTCTAATACCACTTGTTGAAACTTTTATAAAAATTTTAAATTTTATAAAATTATAAACTTTATAGCTTGAAAATCTAAATTCCTTTACTGCCAAGATACTCCATATCAAATCATCAAAAAAAATTAATAATACAGAACATACCTTAATTTATTGGGAATGATTCTTTATTACTGGATCTTAATTCCTAATTTTGAATATTGAATTGCTATCTTTTCATCTTTGACTTATTCCCTTTTAATCTTGAATTTTGCTTCCTTCGATTTTTTAATTCTTGTTCTGGGTTTTGCCTTTTGATCCATATTTTTTATTCTTGAATTCTTTCTTTTTTTATTCTTAATTGTGGGTATTGAATCTTCCTCTTCAGTGTGTTTCTCTATTGTATTTTTGTGTTGATAGAATGATAACAAAGAATGAGAAGTTGCATATGAATTAGGGATCTTAACCTTATATATATATGGTCACAAGTATATAATTATAAGCCACAACTTATTTATTGATCATATATTATCAAATTAATTGATCACAGATTTTTTCGAGGTTACAAATTAAAAATTTTATAGGTCATTGTTTATTTCATTGGCCACATA